TGATATATAACATAGATTTTATTGAGAATAATGTTTCTCTTGAAAAAAACCAACAAATTTTTAGGTAACACATGGTAAAAAATTAGTTGAAAAAATTCAGAGAAATATAATACAATCTCGACCATGTCATGTTCATACATCTTTTTGAATTTAGTCAATTTCTCTTGAAATTATTTCGCTGTCATTTTATTCGTCATATTCTAATATGCAGTCGTCCACCTCGCGACATTTTATCTCTTTTCACGTTCTTTTCGTTAAAATAATTGATTAAATTTTTGATTCATTATAAACTTATATTAAAATTATATTCTCTTTATCTATTTCATTTTTATATTTTATTTTTTCTTGTCTATTATAAAATGTTCTTTTTCCTACATATTAAATTTTATATTTGGATTCTTCCTATTCTCATACATTGCATTTTCCATGAAACATTGCACTCTAACGTTATTGTTTAAAGAAATCTTGTATCTAATTGTACTTTTAAATCACAATTCTTTCCTTAAATATATTATACAATTTTATATATATTTTATCTTGATTTTGGATACATACTTTTTTCTTGAAAAATAGATATTCTTATTTCGTGTAATCTAAATTCTATAGTTTACTATCATATAAAATTTTTTAATCTAAATATTTTATAACTCTTGAAAAGGTTAATGTCTTTCTAGCGTGATAACATATTTTTTTGTTTTCTACTTCTCATATATAAATTATATGTATTTGAAAATTATCTATATGCTTCTAATTTTTATTCATATTGTTATCTTATATATTTTTGTGCTGTGTTTTATTAATTCATTAACTTCTATTTTTGAATTATCTATTTGTATATTAACTTCTATTCACATATTTTTGTGTGTTATATTATATTACTTTTTATTTATATTAAAAAATGTTATTGTTTATGAAAAAATATTTTCTTTTATTAAAAGATGATAATATAAAAGTATGTGAAATTTTTTTTAATGTTTCTTCGTTTAATAAATAAATTGAGTGGAAGTTTTATAAAGTCATATATATAATTTAAATTTTGATATCAATCAAAACGATTTAAATGGCAATTTGGTTTGAAATGCACCTATTAAATGTATTGGGTAAGGGGTTCTAGTGCCTTGTCTGTGAATAATTTATTTATTCATGTGAACGAATCAAAAAAATGTTAGGTAAGCCTGCCAAAGCCAAACCAATACATTTTGAGAGACAGACCGATATAGGAACGCTAGCTACATGCATCTATATGGCTGAATCTGGCTGAATTGCTGAATCTGACTGGATATATTTGTGTTTTTCTATAGAATCTGGCTGAATAATTTAAACTTCAAATGGTAACTACGGAATCCGGCTGATTTTTTTTTTTAATAACTAATCAAATAAACTTTTAAAAAGTAACTAGAAAATTGTTTCACCGAAACCGAACTGAAACCGACGAAATAACCGAATGGATCATAAAATTCATTACCGAAAAATCGGAACCAAAATATTTTAGATATTTATATGAAACCAAAGTACACATATATATCCAAAATATTAGTTACTTTAATACCGAATAGTAAAAAAAAATCCTAATAATAAAACCCGAACCGGAATCAAATGGACACGAACCATAATAACCAAAAAAACTCAAAAATATTTGTAAAGTTTTTGGTTCCTAATCCGTTCTTGATTCAAAAAGCCGAAATACCTAAAACCGAACCGAACTTAAGCCGAAATTTTAAAATAACCGAATGGATACTAAACTCGAGAACTGAAATACCCGAAACCAAAAATTATAGAACCGACACCGAGCTAAAGACCCAAACATCCAAGACTATCCGCTATTAATTATCCATTTTAAAATCCACAAATTTTTTTTTTTTTTCCTAAAAACAAACTTCAAAATACATTATTCAAAAATACATATGGAAATTAACAAATGAAATGCATCTGTTGAAGGTTTGATTAATTTAATAAATAGAATAAAGTAGGACCATTATGACAGAACAACAAAAATTCAACAATAATTCCACGGTTACAAATGATGTAACATTAATATCTTCCACAAGAATTCCTCAACAATTCCACATAAAAGATGTTACCATTCACAGCCTTGGTGTTAGTCCGTACGTACATATATTTGGAAGGACACTCGCATTATATATTGATAAAAAAAAAACTGCATATGTCCTTTAGAGTTAGCTCTAAATTCTGTCCATTCAGAATAACCTAATACTCTTATGTTTTTGTTTCTGATAATAATATATGTAATCCATTATCAGTTTGATAATATTGAACAGCTTCGCTAACTATATATTTTCCCCTTAAATTTCTGATCAATGTGAAATTATAAATTCGACATCTCAAATCCTTGTCTCAAGATATTTGACAGTCTTCTCAGTTCTCATTATGCACCAGTGAAAAATATTGCTAGAGATAATAGTTTTTTGCAACATACATACATATATATATCCCTCCGTTCTTTTATAAGTGATGTTTTAGGAGAATGCATATACATTAAAAAATTATTTAATTTTTGTGTATTTCTAAACTAAAACATCATTTATTATCTAAACAATCAATAAAAAAATAATATACCGAATATAAATCGTCAAAACCAATAAAAAAGTAATTAATTTTGCATTGAAAATATTTACGTCATCTATTTAAAAACAAAATTAAAAGCTTAAAACATCACTTATAAAAGGAGAGAGTATATACTACTAATAAAAAGATTGATAAATGATCCAAAATACTCTTTAATAATAAATTGATATATATAGTCATAAAAAGGAATAGAAGACGAAAAAAATGTAATAATATAACTTTGTGATTTTTTCTTTAATTAGTTGATTTTGTTTCATTTGAAAAGTGGTATTTTTATTTTGTTTGAAAATCCAACTCGAAGGCAAATCAAATGAGGAAACATATGTAAAAAAGGAAGACTCATGTGATATTTTGGATACAATTGGTTTAAATAGTTAGTGAAAAGCAAGAAAGTCATCGAATAATTGTTTCAACTTTCAAACCCACCATAAATTCTTGACGCGTCTGTTTGTCTGTTATCTCTACAAATTTTCTTATACTATCAAAAACTCTATAAAAACAAATTTCCATTTGTAATGAAATTTGGATTAGATTCCAACTACTTTAAAGAACGCAAAGAAAATTAAAAACAGTGAAGTCACATATAAATCAAGTATCACGACACCACAAATTAATGTCAAGAAAACGCGAATATAGAGCTTCAGTGGTCCAATCCTATATGTATAAACTTATTCAAATTATATTTTTTTGGGTTTTAACTTCAAGTAATATATGAAAGTATATATAATCAATAGATACGTAATAACTATTTTTAAAACTTTAAAAATAAACAGCCGAACGAAAACCATTTGGGCAAGTTTGTAATATTGCCATCTCAGGTTACGCTTCTACCAGGGAAGTTCGATGCAGGGGAGTTCGATTCTAAGATTATCCCTTAAGAATACGACATCTTAACCTAATGTTTTATGCAATTATTTTACAAGACTTTTATAAATAAATAAATAAAGGGAGACTCACAAAAATGCCATTTTTCAATACTCATTTTCAAAAATGTCCCTTTTGGTTGTCCATTTTTAAAAATACCTCTTTTTATGTACAAAATGACTAAATTACCTTTCTTTTAATAAAAGATATCACAAATATATAAGGAAAACATGAGAATGCGCACACATCAAAATTACAAATTTGATTTTGTAAAAACTTGTAAAACCTTTAAAATACCTTGTAAAATATTCCCGTAAAAAATTTTCCTGCCAAAAAATTTTCCCGCCAAAATTTTTTTTTGCGGGAAAATTGATTCCGCAATTTTTTTGGCGGGAAAAATTTACAAGGTTTTTTACAGGGTATTTATAAGGTTTTACAATGTATTTTAAAAAGTTTTACAACGTATTTATAAGGTATTTATAAGATATTATAAGATTTTACAAACTATTTTATAAGGTTTTACAAGTTTTTTATAAGGTTTTACAAGTTATAAATACCTTATAAAATCTTATAAGTACTTTGTAAAACCTTTTAAAATACATTGTAAAACCTTACAAAACACTTGTAAATACTTTGTAAAACCTTTAAAATACCTTGTAAATTTTTCCCGCAAAATTTTTTTTTTGGCGGGAAAATTTTTTTAGAAAATTTTACAAGGTATTTTAAAAGTTTTACAAGTTTTTACAAGTGTTTTGGCGGGAAAATTGCGGGATCACTTTTCCCGCCAAAAAATATTTTGTATTTTGTGGACCTAATTTTGTTTCAAATAAAGGTAAAATGGTCATTAAAAATTAAAAAAGGGCAAACTTAAAAATAGACTCTCAAAGACATTTTTGAAAAAGGTATTGAAAAATGAGCATTTTTAACAATTTCTCATAAATAAAACTTAGGAAATTTAACTTATGTATCTACTGTGATATCTCAACCATCTTAATGAATGATACTCAATATTTTGATGTCACAAAATCCAAATTGAATTCTAGTAGTATAAAGATTATAATATTTTGGTGAATATAGATTAAAAGTTATTAGTGTTTTTCTATATACTGAGAAACTTCAAATAGTTGACGCGTAATTTAAGGACCAAAAGCTGATCAATGCTTTTTTTTTTTTAAAGTATTTTGTAAATGAGTTTGATGTTTATTGTTCAAACACATCGTCTGTATTTTAGATGTCAAAGACAAAAAATGATAAAATTAAAGTTTTTTTTTTTAAGAAAATTATTAACATTTTGATGCAAACATATATATCAGATAATCCGGTGTTAGTACTTAATTTGTAGCTTTACTCGTATATCAAACTCAGGAATCAGGATCAAATAAATTTGATCATATTATATATTCTCACTAACAAAACTAATAAATATATCTGTATAATACTTAAAAAACTTTGAATAAAATTCAAAATGTATAAATATATATCATAATTGCTAAAATATTACTATAAGATTCTAAATACTAAAAACTTTCATATATAGCGTACTTAATTGAATTCAACCACTCCAATAATCTTCAGATGTTCAAACCTGCTTTTCTCGTCCGCATCTTCATAATCTCTATTTATATATCATCCATCACCAAACCTCTCTAATTATTTTTATAAAAACTTTCATAATATTCGTCTTCTTTAAATTATAACCACAACACTTTCTCCTCTTCATAATCCTCATCTCCTCACTTTGTCACTAAATCAGAATGAATCCATCCGAGCAAAATCACTTTTCCGGTAATTATTCAATTATTTGTTTTAATCAAGATCGATATCCGACGTATATTGAACAATAATATGATAAGTTAATAATCTTTTTTTGGCCACAGTGGAAAAACCTTCACAAACTTCGTCGGGGCCGTACACAAGCCCACCACCGATTGGTTATCCGACCAGAGATGCGATGGTTGGTGACCCCCCTGCCGCTTCAGTGGAGACGAAGTCCAAGGGCGATGGTTTTTGGAAAGGATGGTATGTTTTTCTTTCATTTTACTCTCATCATGCATCATATATAATTATATATAGATCATGGTTCTAATTATCCGTTTTGCAAGATATTCATACTACGCTCTTATTTTATTTCTAATGATCTATCAGTGTAGGGTTTCATGTGTGTTTCTCCGTTTTGCTCGATTATTTAAATCTTTAACTCGTCATCAGACAATAATTTTTGAGACTATAGTATATTTATTAAAAAAATTATGGAGTATCTCTAATTCGACTCAAACGTAACTATTGGTTTTGTACTGTAATTTTTTTGGTAGAATGAGAAACTGTCAAATCAAGTGTTGGAAAAAAATTGGGTCAACATTTTATAGTTAAGCTTTGTTTTTTTCAACATTTTAGTTGGGATTAAAAGAAAATTATGGTGTATGTGTGTGTGTTTTTTTGATAACTAGTGTTTTCTTGCAAATTTTTGTTTGTTTTAAATTCACCCTTGACTCACATTTTTTATTTCCTTTCATTGACAAAAGATACAAATTAAATAAAAATCCAACTTCAGAGTTGTCAGCTAAAAGTTTGTTTTACCAGCTGAACAACTAAAAATAAATTAAACCATGGGATATTACGTACGTTGCCAAAATTCTTTTTCTTTATTTAAAGTTTTTCAGAAAATGTTTTTTTTTTTTTTTGGTACAAATTTTCAGAAAATGTTACTACTTTAAATATTGAATTTAAACCCATATCTTCCCTAGTCCCTACATAAGAATGGTATTGGTACGTAACAGTTAATATATGTGGTTTTGTCTTTTGGCAGTTGTGCTGCCATATGCTGCTGTTGTGTCCTGGATGCATGTTTCTGAGACTTCGGAGTTAACGATTTCATGCAAATTATTGCTGTAATAAAATAGTATTTGATGCTAGTTATGTTACCTACTCTCTGTTTGGAATATACTATGTGGATGGTTGTTATTTGTTGTTATGTTTTATTATTGTAAGTGATTATATATATTCCATTGAATTGGTTTGTTGAATAGATCCATCGATGATCGCATCATCAGTAAGAAACGATAGGATGTGTTTCAGTTCCTCACGCATTAATGGTAATTTGAAGAGTTGTGAATGGGTTACCCAAATAGAATTAATTAGGTGGGATAATGTTTTTTTTTTTTTTTTTTTCTCTTTCTTTCTTGACCAATCAAAAAGAAAATACAGTAGTAGAAAAGCGAAAACCCAATAACAAAATCAGATTTCTCTAGAAAGCAACATATGCTACTTGTTATATATACTGCAGAAATCTTAAATATAGAAGTTCTAAATCATGCATATAGATATCAAACGAGATATGTCAACGGGATACTTGTTATATATAGGATATAATTCATGATAAAACCATATATTTTCAAGCTGAATGATTAGATGTATTAATTAAATTGCTTCACGTTTTTATGTTTGTGGAAGTTAGAGAAACATTCAGTTCATTTTCAAATAAAGTGCCAATTAGCTCCTAATTATTTGGGAAGTTAAAAGTAACAAGTAATAATGTATTGGCTAATCAAAAGTATTGTATGCTTACATTTCCCGTTTGATATATATACATGCATTGTAACACCCCCTCCCACATTATTGGGTCAATTTATTTTGACATAATGATACAAGCCCAATAAAGCCCAATAACTCCTAACAACTAGAGTTTGGTGTTTGTATGTGTATGTGTAGAAGCATAAAGATCTCTCTCTTCATTTAGAAATGCCGTCAAGAGAAGAATAGAGAGAGAGACAGAGAGAGAGAGAAAGGAGAATTGTAGCAAAGGCAACGTGATCACCACCGGAGCTTCACGTAGTCACCGTCGTTCACTTCTCCCACCGGAATCGATGGCGAAGGAGACAGATCATTCCACAAGGATAGCAAAGCAGTGATGAGTCTATTTTGTAGCAGATCAGAGATGGTGGTTCATATATCACGGATTTATCGGTTTTAACCGTGATTTATGTGTCGGTTTTAAAGTCTTTTTGTTGTTTCTAGTATATTTTTGAGTCTTTTCAGATTTTTACACGTTCAGGACAAATTTGGAGAAAATGAATCATTCTGGAGCTAAACCGGAGATTTGGAGCTAAGGAGACGATTTCGGCATCAGACCAAGACATGAGTTTCGACCGACACCCATTGGTGTCGCTCGACACCACACACGGCCCCGTGAAAAGTCTCGACGGTTTAAAGTTTTAAAGCCCGCATAATCAACCCAGAAGATTTCCTTAATTGCAATTTTAGTCCTTGCACGTTTTTGAGACTTTATAAATAGTTTTTAGGTTTTTTCTATTTTATTATCTTGTCTTTGACTTTTGTAATTCTCTGAGCTTGAACCCTTTGGAAGATAATTGGAGAGAGCTATTTTCAGAGATTTCATAACCCTGTTAGAGAGAAGATTTATTCTAAACTCTTTTCTTCTTTTGATTTCTTATTTTACAATTTATTCAAACATATTTTCTGTTTCATTAATCATGTCTGAGTAATCACCTTGTTATGTTTAGGGATTCTCATTAGGGATTTAGATGAAGTAGTAAATCGATTACCTGTTAGGATTTATCTATAGAATTTTTCACCTAGGTTGTTCTTAATGCTAGTTATAGAGTAACTAACTAGAACTTGATCATAAGATAATAGGTTTTGATCCGAGAGGCCGCCTGTTATTAAAACTACCTTAGGTGAGCAAATATTTCTAGATTCATACGAGAGGTGGTTTAAGAAGATTTGTGAACATATCAAACATGTGCTTAATGCAAATTACTAGTAAAATAGGGTAAATCTTCGGTTTTGTAGTGAATTTGAAATCTTAAAAATTTTGTGTGTGTGTTTCTTTTTCTCACTATGAGATTATATTATAATATTCAAATAAGATACACAGCGAGATAAACTGAAAGTTTTAGTCCAAAAATTTTAGAGCATTTCCATGGGAAAAATATCACACAGCTTTTTATAATTAAAATAATGAAAAAATTAGAAAAAGATGGAGAGAGATAAGCGTTTCTCAAACGAGAGACCTTGAGATAGACAAACTCATTTTATTAATTCTATTGATTTAACATCTTTTATTCATGAGATACCCTTTTTTGACATCCTCACCGATGAAGATGCACTTACAGAAAACAACGTCGACATGATATTTTTCTCTGACATCAAATGTCCAAAAGAAGGAGACAAAAAAATATAAAATACAAAAAAGTAAAATAAAATACAATGAATCATGAAACCGCAAATTGTTTAATTCCAGGAAATACAAATGATTTAGTACATATTATAGGCCATAATAGCATTTTCTACCTCTACAAGATACTTAAGTACTTAACCCAATTTAGCACTAAGGAAAACAACTTCGGAGTATTACGAAGCATAATTCGTAAGGAGAGAGCTTCTTTCGCTATGCTATCTGCCAATCTGCCATCACATTGCTCTCTTGAGAAGAAATTGAGGTTAAACTTGAGAAATACAAACGAACTTTGTGTTTTAAACGAGATCCCAAATTTGTGGCTTTAGGCCTAAAATTCTTTAGAAAAATTTTGTAGGCTGAATTCAAAGTGTACTGAAGATCAATTTTTTTTTTATGAGAACATAATTTAAAGCATCTATAAATTACATTAATTAGAAAAAACAAAAAAAGTGGTCGCACCACTTGGCTAAGGTAGGTCTCCACGTAGGGGTGAGACCAATTATCCGGGATCCGATCCGGGATCCGCTCCGAAAAATAGGATATCCGGGTTGGGCGGATCCGGATCCGGATAATGAAAAAGCGGATCCGGATCCGGATAATAGAAAATTTAAAGCCGGATATCCGGATCCGGGATATTTTAGATAATAATAATATTTTTTTAATATTTTATTACTATTATTTAAATTTTATTAATAAATTCTATTATTTTATATAAGAATAATATTTTTTTAATAATATTTTTAATTATTTATATTAAATTATTTGTTTTTAAATATTTTTCTTGAAATTTTATAGTAATAAAAAAAATTATATAAAAAAACCCAGATCCGGATATCCGGGTGGAACGGCTCTTTTACGGATATCCGAAATCCGGATATCCGGGTGGAACGGATCCGGATCCGGATAATGAAAAGGCGGATCTGGCCGGATCCGAATCCGGATCCGGATACCCAAAAAAAGCCGGATATCCGGATCCGGCCCAGCCCTCTCTCCACGTGAGTAAATATCTACCTTTGCTCAAATAAAAAGTTCCCCCTCCTCGCGTACCTGCATGAATATGATCTCCGCCAGATAGACGTAAAACTTAAGCTAGTACACAAAAGTGTTTACTGATAAGGTTCAAATTAAGACCTAAGACTACTCTCTCAAATAAGAGATCAATTGCAGTACTTTAGGGTCGAATTCCACAAAGCTCTCGTGTTCACACAATAGACTAACATGTTTTGAATTAAGCTAAACAAGAAAAGATTGCAAATTAAAATAAAACAAGTAATTAAAATCGAGATGTAAATCAGATGGGAAAACGTTAGGCTTAGGGATTTCTCAGGAAATAAAGTAATAGTAAATCTAGCAAATTAATTAGGATAATTTAATGAACCGTTCTAGAAATCAAAACACTAATGAATAGCTAACCACCTCTCGATGCGATAACTAACAAGTCTAATATCAGTAATTCCACCTCTCGATGCGAATTCCTAGATCTAGACTAGCATTAATTTCAGGTTTGATATGTTCACCTTAGTAGATAGGCCGATTCTTATTACACACCTATAAACCAGGCTCATCTAAAGTAGTTCCAGTAACAGGTGCCCTCTCGGATCAAATACCTATTATCCTAAGATCAAATTCTAGGTGATCAAGCTAGAATTAGCATTAAGAACAACCTAGATGAAGAACTCTATAAATTAATCCTAACAGGTAATCGATTTACTAATCCATCTAAATCCCTAATGAGAATCCCTAAACCTAACAAGCAAACTACTCAGACATAGAGATTGAAACAAACAACATGATTGAATAGAATTGCATTAAGAAAACAAAGAAGAGAATAGAGTTTAAGAAATCTTCTCTGGAGGAACTCTCTTCAATTATCTCCCAAAAGGTTCAAGCTCCAAACATACAAAAGAGAAAAGGAGAATAGCCTCTCCAAGCTTAGGTCTAAACAATGACCTTATATATATATATATATATATATATATATATATATATATATATGTTATTAAAAACATGCAGGGACTTCTTTGTAAATAGGGAAACGTTCTGGGCCGAATCTTCAAATCTTCATAACTTCAATAAGTTGCGAAATTGAATTGCCGTCAGATCTTGGTGTCGACCGAGGGTGGTGTCGATCGACACCTACACGTATTTTCGTCTCCGGATTGCTCGCGCAGCATAACTTCTCGGTTTTGCTCCAGAATGATCCATAATCTCTAAATTGGTCCCGAACGTGTAAAAACCTTAAAATACTCAAAAGACTCTAGAAATAACAAAAAGACTCTAAAAACAATACATATATCACGGTTAAAACCGGTAAAATCCGTGATATATCACATACCATGACTCTTGTCTATCAATAACAAAGTGCATTGCACGGGGATGTGATGAAGTTGGCCATGATCTCGGGAATAATGAGTCAAACTAGTATTGCAGTGAATCCCCCTGTTAAGTTATCATGCATTATCATAAGAACTCCCAATAATCTGGCAAATACATCTTTCTTGTCATTTTTTCGTATGTGCCACAATATCATTCAAATAATGCCCTATTATTTCACATGTTTCAGCATATGATTTATATATAGCTTCAGCCCAAAATAAGAAACAGAACATTCTTCAAAAAGACCCCTACCGAACATTCTTCAAAAAGATCCAATTAATGAGTAAGTTACAAAAAGACTCGATGAGGTAGCATCGTCCTTTGTAACGATCAAGGATGGTAAGACTATCGGTACACATACTTGTCCATGTACTAGTAGAAGATCCATCAGCCAATGCAACCTTTGCTTCTTCAGGTAGAACTCCAAGTTGAGTTACTCGGAATGCTTCCCAAGATATTAGTATCCTTGATTTTAGATCATGAATATCATAAGTCAATTTATACTCTTTAACACCAACTTTGAATCCAACAATTGCTTTAGTCTCTGTTTGTGGTGACTAAGTCCCTCCCTACAAGCTAGGTTGCATGGAAACGGAAACGAAAATTTAAACGCGGAAGCGAAACGTGTGGAAACGGATTTTTAAAAAAATTACGAAATGGAAACGTTTTGGAAACGTGTATATATATATATGAAACACTAAACATCAAAATAATATTAAAAATATATTTTAAATAACATAAATCATTAATAAAAATATTAAATAATCAAATTAAAATAATGATAACAATACTCAAAATAAAAAATTAAGACCATATATCACGATCACAAGTAATAAAATAAGTGTTTAATATTCCTCATACTAATTAGGTTTTTAAAGAAAAATATCAAATATATACTTATATTTTAAAAATAATTAATTTTTATGTTTCAAAAGAAAAAATTAGGTTTCCGATGTGTTTCCAAAATGGAAACGTACGTTTCCATCGCGTTTTCAAATTGACTTTTTAAGGATACGTGTTTCCATGACGTTTCCACGTGTTTCCAAGAGTTTTCGATTCCGAAACGTTTCCGAAACGGGAAACTCACCTCGGATGGAGTTTCCATGCAACATAGCCTACAAGTCTTGAATTTAGAATTCTTGCAGTAAAAAAACAACAACAGGGTCTACTAGACATAAATTAGGAATAGATCATTTAATTAGTTAACCTTTTTGGCAAGAACCTTTCACAAAATTAACAACTAATCAGAATGATTCTTTATTAGGCCATGGCCGGCTATGCTAACATAAAAATACAAATCAGATAAAACAATATATTGCCTATTGCGTATTCTATTATGATAAATGAATCAAAGACTTTTGCAAAAAATATTATATTCATATGTATATTATTTTAAAACTATGATTCAGTTAGTTGAGCTTGAAAATGAATAGTCCTTCATTGAATAAGTAAAATATGTAATTTCACATTCGCTTGGGTGGTACCAACGAAATCGAGTGCTTACTTCAAGTTCTATTGAATTAACCGATGAATTTGCTATTAAATATTTTTTCTATATTCGAAACAAATTTCAAAAAATTTAACATCTTTCTTTTTTTGGGGCAGTAATTTATTATTATTATTATAATGAGAATAAAAATTCTATTAGACCCAAAAATGATACATCAGCTAAAATCTCTTTTTCGTTTACTCCTATCCCGACGAGTCCTACTACTTTGGAACTAGAGGTTTTGATACGTTAAAAAAAAAAAGTTGTGACGTATCGCGGTTATCGCCCAAATTTTTGATCCGGTACATATACCTTTATTAAAAAAAATTGGTTTTCAAAATTGCTAATTCACATAATCGCGATACTTGTCAAGGCTATCGATAAAATTTCGACACGTATAAGAAAACTTTTAACCAATTAGAAATAGATATTGTGTTATTGCCTAGAGCTATTTTGAACAAGTCTATTGATATATACGCTAATGGCTCCTACGAAGTAACAATATCTTTTCACTTTCATCTCAACCTTGGGTGTGGCTTTCGTCTTCCCTTTTGCATTTCACAGAATAGCATTTGCTTTTTCTCCGCAATTCTTAATTTGCTAGTTACATTTTTTTTAAAAAAGGAGTGGTGTACGACTTGGCTAAGATGAATCTGTTCAGTATATGCATATGACTAACCTAAATACATTAAGAAAAATAAAAAAAAATGGTGGTACGACTTGGCTAAAGGTAGGTCTGTTCTTTTCTTGTTTTTCTTTGCAAAGTATTACACTAGGTAGGTTTATTCAATAGTTACTTTTCTTTCTTTTATTTAGAAAATAATTAAGGAAAATTCCTAATACAATTCGTCTTCCTTAAATTAAGTCCACAACACTCGCTCCTCTTCACAATTCTCCCTTCAGCGTTCCTCAGCTCCTCAAATCAGAATGACTCAATCCGAGCACAATTACTTTTCCGGTAATTCTTCAATTATTTTCTAAAATCATGATCAATGTCCGATGTATAATCTTGTTGGCCACGTATAATCATGAACAATTATTCTATACACACCAACTAGATAATTAACTAATCTTTTTGGGCACAGTGCAAAAACGTTCACAGATTTCATCAGGGCCGGACACAAGTCCGTCGCCGCCGATTGGTTATCCGACCACAGATCAGGTGGTGGGTGATCCTCCGGCAGCAGCAGTGAAGACAAAGTCCAAGGGCGGCGGACGCTTTATAGTGGCAATATTACAGTACATACATATATTTCTTTAAATTTATTTGCAAGATATTGTCATCGTTCAACTTTCTTTTTAATGATCTGTCTGTCTACACTATTGGCAGTTGGATAATGTGTTGTTGCGAATGTATATCACAATAATCATCATGATGAGACTGAAGTGCTTGCCCAAACCAGAAAAACAACACGTACGTAATAGGAGATCCATCAATAAGTCTCAAGATATATATTAAGTCGTCGTTTGTAAGGACTCCCACGTTGCATTTTTAAATTTGTTTGCACCACTGTTTGAATGGGATCCATGCATGATCCCCATTTGCTTTGTGTATTTTTTTTTTTTTTTTTGACAATAACTTTGTGTATTTTGTTTTTATATATATATATATATAAATTCAAGAAAAACCAAAATTGCTAGTCATAACTCGTAACTACCCAAAGAAAACTGTGTTATAGTAGTGTTTTTTACGTCTTTCTTACGATTAACATTGAATAATCCTTACATGGGACTCATTAACTTCGGAATTAACCATTTCATACAAATTATATTGCTGTAAGAAAAATAAAAACAATATTTGACGATAGTGAGGAATGAGGATGGTTGTGTTTGGCTTTACAATTTTAAGTGGCTGTGACTTTATCCAAGTATAACTATTAGGTGGAAAACTGTCTTTTTTTCTTTCAAAACCAATCAATAGAAGATAACGGAAAAAATAACGAGAAAGTATTATCCAGCTAGATAGTAAGAGACTGTTAATTATGGCCAAATTTTACATGCTAGATGTGCAAAAGACAAAAGTGTAAAGTATGTAAAATTTGCCGTTATTACGGCTTATGTCATCGGTTTTGTTTGTTATAAAAAAACAATCGATGTAAGGATAAAATCGGCTTAAATTTGTTGTGGAAGCCGATCCAAACTAAATCAAAGAAACCAAATTCAAATTTAAATTAAATATATTTAAAATCAGCAAATTTTCACTAAAATCAATTTTTTTAATTATCATTTAGTTTTCAACAACCAAACTAATATATAATTTGATTCCAAATAGAACTTATTTTCTATAACCTAAAAACCCAAAACCCGAAAAACCTGAACTGAATTTTTTTTTCTCGAATGGACGTATTTTCTAAAATCTAATTTTTCTAAAAGTGAAACATAGTTATGAAATATTTACAATATTACCCTTTACTAAAATAAATATGAAAAGGAGCAAAAAAAACAGTTTGGAATTGTCAAACCCATCACATTTTCGCTTAAAGCCGAGAACCAAGTGAGCTATCAAATATATACTTTAAAATATTAAATCAAGAAATTTATTAATTTTAATATTAGTTAAATTTAATATCAAATAAACTTTAAAACTAGTCTCCGATTGAACTCCGCTTTTTTTGGTAGGCTTTAAACCTGTTCTGAACGCCTGACTACCCCCAAACGATATTTTGAACGAAACTAATGATATATAAGCTACATGCTTCTACGAAGTAACAAATTTGTTTCTTTCATATTTATAAGAGCCAGAGTAAATAAAAGGAAAAGTACTCTCTTCTCACTTTCTTCATCTCAACCATCGGTGACGCTTTCCACTTCCTTTTGCATTTCACACAACAGCATTTGCTTTTCCTCCGAAATTCTTTGCCAATCGACAATCCCTTATGAGTTACCTAGTTACATTTAAAAAACACAAAAAGTGGTGGCACGACTTGGCTAAGATGAGTTTGTTCAATATATGACTTGCCTAGTTTCATTAAAAAGAAAACAAAAGAAGTCTTGGCACGACTTGGCTAAGGTAGGTCTGTTCTTTTTTTTTTCTTTCCCATAACTGTTTAGCTTTTATATTACTGTATAACACAAGTGTTGCAAAGTATTACAATAGGTTGGTCTATTCAATATCGACTTTTCTTTCTTTTATTTAGAGAATAATTAAGAAAACTTCCTAATATTCGTCTTGGTTAAATTAAAACCACAACACTCTCTCCTCTTCATAATTCTTCCTCATTCCTTAGCTCCTCTAATCAGAATGAATCAATACGACCACAAATACTTTCCAGCTATTTCTTCAATTATTTTCTAAAATCAAGATCAATGTCTGACGTTTAATCTTTTTGGCCACATATAACCATCCATGAACAATTTAATTATTCTATACACACCAAGTAGATAATTAATTAATCTTTTTGGGAACAGTGGATCGGAAAAACCATCAGAGACTTCATCAGGACCGTCCGTAAGTCTGCCGCGCGCTGACGATGGGTTATCTGACCAGCAGCAGTGAAGACAAAGTCCAATTTCTGCCAAGGCATATTGCCAATATTACAGTACCAATATTTTTCATTTAATTTACTTTCTTTTATATATGTTTATAGTTTGGCTCTAATTATCCGCAACCGGCGTTCAACTAACTTTTTAATGATCTGTTTGTCTACAAAATTGACAGTAATGTTGTATTACGGCTTGTTGCCATTGTCTCGCCCTCTGCGCATCAGGATTATCATGCTGATGAGACTGAACTCGTTGCCCAAACCAGAAAAACAACACGCAATAGAAGATCCATCAATATGTTATCTTAACTCAAGATATAAATCTTAGTCGCTTGTATGGTTTCCAACGTTGCATTTTTAAGTTTATTTGCTTTATTGTTTAAAAGGGATCCATTATCCCCATTTGCTTGGTGTATTTTGTTTCTATATAAATCAAAGACAAACCAAAAATAGCTAGTCATAACTCGTAAGTACCCAAAGAAAACTGTGTTATATATATAGTGTTTTTACGTCTTGCTTCAGATCAACATTGAATGATCCTTGCATGGGACTCGTTAACGATTTCATACAAATTACGGCTTTATGCCATCGGTTCTATTTATTAAAAAAAAAACGATGTAAGGGTTAAATACTTAAATATCTGCATTAATTTGTACGCGCCGTACGCTCAACTAGGGCCTAGCAATATTTTGAACAAGACTATTAATATATAAATGGCTCTTGCGAATAATTAATATCTTTTCCTTGATATGTACTATAAGAAGAACCGGAGTAAATGAAAGGATAAGTACTCTCTTCCCTTTTGCATTTCAGACAAAAGCATTTGCTTTTCTCCGCAATTCTTTTCTATTCGACAATATTCACTTATGACTTACCTAGTTACATTAAAAAACAAAACAAAAAAGTGGTGGCACGACTTGGCTAAGGTGAGTATGTTCAATACTTGACAGTTATGACTTATAATTACATTAAGAAAAACAAAAAAGTGGTGGCGCGACTTGGCTAAGCTAGGTCTGTTCTTGTTTTTTTTTTTCCCCATACTGTTTCGCTTTTTATATACTATAACACAAGTGTTGCAAGGTATTACACTAGGTAGGTCTATTCAATATTTGACTTTTCTTTCATTTATTTAGAGAATAATTAAGAAAACCTCCTAATATTCTTCTTGGTTAAATTAAAACCACAACACTCTCTCCTCTTCATAATTCTCCCTTCCACATTCCTCAGCTCCTCAAACCAGAATGGATCAATACGATCACAAATACTTTTCAGGTAATTCTTCAATTATTTTCTAAAATCATGATCAATGTCCGACGTCTAATCTTTTTTGCCATGTATAACCATGAACAATTATTATATACACACCAATATTAGATAATTAATTAATCTTTTTGGGTACAGTGCAAAAGCCATCACAGACTTCGTCAGGGCCGTACATAAGTCCGCCGCCGATTGGTTATCCGACCAGAGATAAGGCGGTGGGTGATCCTCCGGCAGCAGCAGTGAAGACAAATTCCAAGGGCTGCTGTGAAGTCGTAATGGCAATATTACAGTACATAGTTATACATATCTAATTTAACTTTCTTTATAGATAGTTTTGTTGGAGTTGAATAAGTCTTCAAAGACTTGATCGTGTGTAAGTTTGAGTCAATAAGACGAAATACCAGGAACTAAGTCACGTTTTGGATAAGTTTGTTGTAGTTCCTGTTTTTGCTCTGTTTTAGTTTTGCTTCAGTTCTTGTAAGGCTATTTAAAGGCCATCTTGTTTCCAATCTAAGCATCAATGAGTACTTTCTCAAAACCTGCAACTCTTATTTTAACATTGTGGTATCAGAGCCCTCTCAAAAGGGATCTGACTGAGTGAGAAACGAGTGTGTATTTTGAGTGAGTGTGAGAAAAGAAATCAGTGTGAGAGATGGCAGCTGAATCAAGTAACTTCAGTGCCCCGTGTGTGCCAAAATTCGATGGAGATTACGACCATTGGAGTTTACTAATGGAGAACCTGTTGCGTTCAAAGGAGTATTGGTGTGTGATTCAACCTGGTTTTAAGGAACCCGGGGAAGGAGAAGTGCTGTCCGCAGCACAACAGAAGGTGTTAGATGAAGCAAGGCTAAAGGACTTGAAGGCAAAGAACTATCTCTTCCAGTCCATTGACAAGTCGATCTTGAAGACCATCACTCAAAAGGAGACTGCTAAGCTTTTATGGGATTCCATGAAAGTCAAGTATCAAGGCAATGAAAGGGTGAAACGTGCGCAGCTACAGAGACTTCGTAGAGTTTTCGAAACCTTAGAGATGAAGGTGGGAGAAACAGTGACAGATTATTTCGGGAGAGTCATGGTGACAGCAAACGATATGCGGAACTGCGGAGAAAACATGGAAGATGTGAAGATCGTTGAAAAAATTCTTCGAACACTAACGGAGAATTTTAACTATGTCGTGTGCTCTATAGAGGAATCAAAGGACATTGACCAGATGACTGTCGACGGGCTACACAGCTCACTGCTTGTTCACGAACAGAAGATACGACGTAGGGGAGTCGAAGAGCAAGTACTAAAAGTTGAGTACGACAACTCTGGACGAGGAAGAGGTAGGGGCTACAATGGTAGAAGAGGAGGTAGCAACGTGTCAAGAGGAAGAGGAGGAACCAGACCAAGTTTCGACAAAGCTACCATTGAATGTTTTAGATGTCACAAACTGGGACATTTTCAATACGAGTGTCCAACTGCTGAAAAGGAAGCAAACTATGCTGAGTTCGATGAAGGAGAGGCATTGCTTCTAATGGCGCAAACAGAGACTCAAGAAACGAAGAAAAGTGGTCTGTGGTTTCTGGATTCGGGATGTTCCAATCACATGACGGGAAATAAAGAATGGTTCATGGAGATCGATGATAGTTTCAGGCATGCAGTGAGGCTGGGAAACAGTTCAAGAATGGAAGTTGTCGGAAAAGGAGACGTCAAATTTGAGGTTGAAGGGGTGACTCAAATTGTAAGTGACGTGTTCTTTGTTCCAAATTTGACTAATAATCTGTTGAGTGTTGGGCAATTGCAAGAAAAGGGTGTGGATGTTCTTATTAGCAAAGGAGTGTGCAAGATCTATCATCCTCGTAGAGGGTTGATTGTGAGCACAAAAATGACTGCAAATCGCATGTTCATTGTGTCAGCCATTATGAAAACCGATCCAAATCAATGTCTGAAAATCGAAGAAGATGAAGTGTCGACTCTCTGGCACAAGCGTTACGGACATCTCAACAACACGTCTATCCGGAGTATGCATGAGAAGAAACTGGTGAATGGTCTACCTCACCTGAAAGAAGTCTCTAAGGTATGCGAAGTCTGCAACATCGGAAAGCAACACCGAGAAGTTATACCCAAGAAGAGTCAATGGAGAGCAGCAGAGAAGTTAAAGCTCATTCATGCAGACTTATGCGGTCCTATTTCCCCAACCTCTCATAGTGGAAAAAGGTACATCTTTCTTTTGATTGATGATTTTAGCCGCAAAAGCTGGATTTACCTTCTCTCCGAAAAAAGTGAGGCGTTTGATACTTTCAAGATTTTCAAGAGTCTTGTGGAGAAGGAATCAGGAACATACATTGGTTGCTTGAGGACTGATAGGGGAGGAGAGTTCACTTCTAGCATGTTTAATCAGTATTGTGAAGAACATGGGATTAAAAGACAATTGACTGCAGCCTATACGCCACAGCAGAACGGCGTTGCAGAGAGAAGAAACCGCACCATAATGAATATGGTAAGATGTTTACTCACGGAGAAGAGCATGCCAAAGAAGTTTTGGCCTGAGGCTGCAAAGTGGACTTGCCACGTTTTAAACAGAAGCATGACAAGTGCCGTGAAGGATATGGTTCCAGAAGAGGTTTGGAGTGGGATGAAGCCAAGTGTGAGTTACTTTAGAGTTTTCGGGTGTATTGGACATGTACATGTCCCTGATCAACGAAGAGTGAAGCTTGATAACAGGAGCAACAAATGCGTTCTTCTCGGAGTGAGTGAAGAATCTAAAGCATATCGGCTTTATGATCCAAATTCTAAGAAAGTGGTGGTCAGTCGGGATGTGATATTTGAAGAAGAAGAAAAATGGGACTGGAGTGCAGATAAAGATGCTATTGATGACATTCTGGACTGGGGAGAAGAAGAGAAAACCGATGGAGAAAGAGAAGAAGAGGCTGAGGTTTCTGAAGAAGATGACGATGGAGAGGGTCAGCAGCTGAATAATGGAGAAAATACTGAGAATTCTCCACAGCTAGAGACACATCAAAAGAGAGAAAGAAGAGCACCTGGTTGGATGCGAGATTATGAGAGTGGAGAAAGAATCTCAGATGAGGAGGCAGAAGCTGAGCTGGCACTAGCGTTGTTTTTGTCTCATGGGGATCCGGTTAAGTTCGCAGAAGCCTGCAAAGAAGATAAATGGATGGAAGCAATGAGGAGTGAGATCCATTCCATTGAGAAAAACCAGACGTGGGAGCTTGTTAAGCTACCAACAGATGCTAAGAAAATTGGGGTAAAGTGGGTTTTCAAGACCAAGTTAAATGAGGATGGGGAGGTTGACAAGTATAAAGCAAGATTGGTCGTGAAAGGGTATGCGCAAGAAGAAGGCATTGACTACGATGAAGTCTTTGCACCCGTAGCTCGGTGGGACACAATCAGACTTTTATTGGCTATTGCTGCTCAAAGAGGCTGGAGAGTATACCAATTGGACGTGAAAAGCGCTTTTCTATATGGAGAATTAAAGGAAGTTGTGTATGTGGATCAACCGGAGGGGTTCATTAAAATCGGAGAAGAAGATAAGGTATACCGTTTGAGAAAAGCCTTGTATGGACTAAAACAGGCTCCTAGAGCTTGGTTTAGTCGGGTTGAAGGTTATTTTAAGCGAGAGGGATTCATCAAGAGCAGCTATGATCACACACTCTTTATCAAAAGAATCGGAGAAAAGCAAATCATGGTGAGTATTTATGTTGATGATTTGATTTTTTCTGGAAATGATGAGATGTTGCTAGAAGAATTTAAGGAATCAATGAAGCGAGAGTTCGAGATGACTGATCTCGGTCTGATGAGGTTCTTTCTTGGCGTGGAAGTGAGGCAAAGTCCAGAAGGAATTCACCTATGTCAAAAGAAATATGCTATGGAGGTGTTGGAGAGATTTAAAATGGCTGACTGCAACCCGGTTAAAAACCCTATAGTTCCAGGCGCTAAACTTACAAAGGAAGGTGATGGAGAAGAGGTGGATTCTACTCTGTACAAGCAGTTAGTGGGTTGTTTGATGTACCTAACTGTAACACGACCTGATATGATGTATGTGGTCTGTTTGATAGCTCGTTTTATGGCAAAACCAAGAGAAGAACATATGTTGGCAGCAAAGAGAGTTTTGAGATACTTGCGGGGTACGTTGGAGTTTGGTATCTTTTACGAAAGGGGAAATGAGTTAAAGGTGAAAGCATACACTGATAGTGATTATGCTGGTGATGTCGAGGACCGAAAAAGCACCTCAGGTTATGTATTTCTGTTTAACGGTGCGGCAGTTTGTTGGAGCTCAAGAAAACAAGATGTTGTTACTTTATCTTCAACAGAAGCAGAGTATGTTGCTGCAACATCATGTGCATGTCATTGTGTTTGGTTGAAAGGAATCATGGAGCAGATTATGTTTGAGCAAGTTGGATGTTTGGAGATTTCGTGTGACAATACTTCCTCCATTAAGCTCTCTAAGAATCCAGTTATGCACAGGCGCACTAAGCATATTGATGTCAGGTACCATTATATCCGTGATCTTACCAATCAAGAAGCTGTGAAGCTTGTGTTTTGCGGGACAGAGAAACAGGTAGCAGACATCATGACAAAACCGGTGAAGCTGGACACATTTGTCAAGATGCGAAGTCTACTTGGAATGAAGACACAAGAAGGTTAAACTGGATGCTTTGTTAGCATTTCCAGTTTAAGGGAGGGATTTGTTGGAGTTGAATAAGTCTTCAAAGACTTGGTCGTGTGTAAGTTTGAGTCAATAAGACGAAATACCAGGAACTAAGTCACGTTTTGGATAAGTTTGTTGTAGTTCCTGTTTTTGCTCTGTTTTAGTTTTGCTTCAGTTCTTGTAAAGCTATTTAAAGGCCATCTTGTTTCCAATCTAAGCATCAATGAGTACTTTCTCAAAACCTGCAACTCTTATTTTAACAAGTTTGGTTCTAATTATCCATTGATTATTTGCAAGATATTCATCCTACGTTCAACTCTCTTTTTCATGATCTGTCTGCCTACACTATTGGCAGTTGTATTCAAGGTTGTGGCGAATGTTTCATGTGCTGTGCATCAGGATTTTCAGGATGATGAGACTCAAGTGAGTCTTTGCTCAAACCAGAAAAACAACATGTACGTAATAGAAGATCCATCAATATGTTATTTGCTTCATTGGTTGAAAGAGATCCATGATCCCCATTTGCTTCCTGTATTTACTTCTTTAGAAATCAAAGAAAAACCAAAAATAGCTAGTCATAACTCTCGTATAACAACAAATTATGACGTAGTGATTTTTATTCCTAAGTTTAATACAATATAATTATATAAACAACACC